GCATCAGCGTGCCATTAGTCCAGATGAATGCCGGCACTCGCTTACGCTTCCCCCGGTTGCCGCGTGAGGTCAGCCACTTTTTTTTTTTTTTTGCAAATCAGGCCGCCGCAAGGATGGATGACAGCGGCGAGTGGGGCCTGCTCGCCGTATCCAAAAGTCCTTCGTCCTCAGCTGCGCGTCTTTAAATAGTCCGCCCAGGGACGAGGCGTCCGCCGTTTGATTTATTCCATATTGTATTTTGGGGATCTAATTAAAACAAACCTCCCCCGCGGTGTTTGGCTACATCCGGAAAGCGCGCGCACACCCGGCCCGGCGAGAGAACAGAAAGGGAAATCTTGTCTTGGGAAGTCATTTGAGGCAAAGAGAGAGCGGGGCGAGTACCTGTGGCATAAGGTATGCAATAAATAAGGTGCCATCTGTTTGGATTGGAGCACTCGTGGCTCCTCCGCACGGAATCCGCCAGAGACTTAATTAAAGTTGGAATACCAGCAAGCGGCAGACTGATACTCTTCCAATGGAATGGCAGCTATAGCATATCGCAGCAGCTGTTTGATTGAGATTAATTCCCGTTGAAAGTCAAACAACAGAGCTGGATTTCACTTTCTTTTGTCATTTCACGCAAAACGCATTTTTTTTAATGGCACTTCCAAGCACTTGTGTCATATCTGTATCCATGACAACCTGCTCTTCTTTGTCACATGCCATGAAACACAAACATCGGACACGTTTCATCTTTCAGTCTCTACACTAAACTAAATTGAAAAAAATGATACTGGCATGGTCGCTAAAAAAAACCTAAATGAAGAACTAATTGGATATTTGATGCATTCAAAGGGTTTGAGTGAGACATGAACCTTACTCACGTTGGCAATGCCACATAGAGCAATTGTGTAGTTAGCAACGCGGTGGTCGACTTTGGATTTCCTGTGGCCATTTTGCACGCTTTCCGTTACATCGGGGATGGGCAACTATTGGCCTCTCGATGAATTTTTTTGTAAATTAATTTTTGCGAAAAAAAAATGTACAAAATAAATGTTGGTTTGCTGTTCAGCAGTTTTGTGCCGTTCTTGAATGGTCATTTTAATGCAAGACAACCCCCCCTCCAAAAATGATATATATCACAGTATGCGGTCATTTCGGGTTTTTTTTTCTTCCCCCCCCATCTTTGTTTTTGTGGTTCTTTCATACATGCATTCAGAAATGTATTCAAATATGTTGGAACCAAATTGCAAATAGCATTTGTGTCATGCGTCCGGTTCGAAAGCGCGCGCTCCGGTTTGGGCCCCCTGCCTACCAGCTGCACTGATGAAAAGTTGTGCCCCGCCCCCAGCATTTAAATTCCCGATCGCTGCTTTACACGATGGCGTAGGTTGTGGTTTATTCTTAAATCTCGGATGTTAATCCATCTTTTAAATGCAGGCAAAACTGCTCATTATCATTTGCGAAAGCCGAATTTGGGGATTAACGCTTGTACGGCGTCCCATGAGATAGGCGGGCAATCAACTAATACTTTAATTAGCACCGCTCAGTCTGCTGAGTTTCCTTTCATTTAATTACCGTTAATTGACAGTTATCAACTAATCGATATGCTCCCCCATTTCATAGTTTAGCAAACTGTAATTAAATGTGTGAAACGCGTTCAAATGCAAAACTGCGAAACGTTGTTATGATGGTTCTCGGAAAACACGCTTGTCGTGTACGAAACGGTGTCTGATGTATGCGCGTCATCACTTCAAGTTGCGAGGTCTTCGTCGGCTGCTCGTGGTGAGGCTTCCAATTTTTCATTTCGCCGTCGTCGTGAGCGATGAGCAGAATGAGGATGAAGGACTTGCTACGGAAATTATAAGGAGCAGGATTTTAAATTGGGGTTTAAAGACAAGATTAGGGTTTCAAATTAGGGTTCCGAGCCTGGATAAGGTTTCAAGTGTGGGTTAGGGCTGAAGGCAAAATGAGGATTCAAATGAGGGTGTTTATAAAGCGCAATACTGTACCGTGCTACTTATATCAAAAAAAACACGTTCACCCAAAAAAGTTTGCAGGGCTAGAGGAATGGCATTTCCATTCATTTCAATGGGCAAAGTCAATTTGTGATCACTGTGTTGTGTTTTAAATGAGATGAAAACTCCGAAATAAATACCTCCACCGCAATGGAAGCAGCGGTACGACTTGAATAGTTCCAGAGCGTCAGGCAAGGCCGCGGTTGGCGAGATCGCGAACCTCGGGGATTACTGCGGCCAGACAATTGATGAGTTTGTCGCCGGAAGAGAGGAGACGTTTAATCCCACCGTATTTAGTATTCGCGGCACGAGAGTTCACCTTGACGGGTCATCCGGTTAGTGAGAGAGAGAGAGAGAGAGAGAGAAGGTCCGAAATGCCAAAGATCCGTCAGGGGCCCCGTTTCCAGACAGCGCCCGGAAAGAACGGTGGCATTTTTAATCACATCTTTACTCGGGAGGAATTCATGAAACGTTTCCACTCGGTGCTTTGTCTACTTTCAAACAAGGAGTCCACGGTTCAAATTAGGACTTTGAAGCCAGGGTGAGGGTTTCAAATTTAATTTTGAGGCCAAGGAAAGCGTTTCAAATTAGAGTATTAGAGATTCAAGACAGAGTTAGGGGTTTAAATTGTGGCTTCAAAACAAGATTAGTGCTTCAAATTAGAGAGTTTCGAGTTACTGTTTGAAGCCAAGGAAAGTGCTCTTGGGCCTATCTTAAGGTTTCCAACAAGGGTTCGTGTTTCAAATTAGGATGCAATGCCGGGGCAACGATTTCAAATGTGGAATAGGGTTTCAAACAAGGGTTGGACATTTCAAATGCGGGCCGGATTACGGTCTCCAATTCGGCTTTCAATTGAGGGTTTTCAGACAGAATTGGGGTATTAAACAAGGTTTCAGGCTTTAAATGGTGGTTTGAAGACAAAATTAGGGTTTCAAGATACGGTTTGAAGAAAAGATTCAGGGTTCAAATTAGGGTTTCAAGTTAGCGTCACATTTTCTAATTAGGGTTTTCAATATGGGCTACAACCCAGGGTCAGGGTTGCAAATTAGGGTTTGAAGCTAAAGACAGGGTTTCAAACAAGAGTTAGTGTATGAAGAAAAAGATTGAAGCCCACATTAGTGTTGCAAACCAGACCGACGGTTTCAAGTCAGGATTTCCAATTTGGCTCTAGAGCCAGGGTTAGCCGTTCGAAATATGGTTCGAGGCACGGCTGCGTTACAAAGGTGGGGTTTCAAGCAAAGGTTAAGGTTTCAAATGGGGGTTCCGGTGTGGCTTTGGGTTTTCAAGTTAACCTTTAAAATTAGGATCTCAAGCAAGGGCTCCGCTTTCAAAGTCGGATTCCGAGGCATGGCTTGTGTTAAACCAGGGTTACGGTTTCAGTTTGAGTTTCACGATTCAGTTTAGGGCCATAATCCAGAATCAGGGTTTCGAATTAAGCTTTCAAAACAGGGTTGTGGTTTCAAATGGTTTTGCCTGCTGAGACGTCCTAAATTCTAATGTCAAAAGTTTTGCAAACTCTTCACTTGCTGAGAGTTAGTCAATGCTATTTATATTAGCTTAGCGCTGACTGAGAGCCTGGCTATGAAATCCCCGTGTTGAAAGAGCGCAAGCGTACTAATTCAATTATATGCCTCAGCGCTCCAATACACCTCCAGAAGTGCGCTATTGTCTGCTGAAAACAAAGAAAAATAGCAGGAAATCGTGTATGAATGAAGTTCAGTGTTGGAAGAAGGAAAAAAAAAAAAAGGATTTGGCTGGAGAGGAAAGGAAGACGGACGATTTCTTTCCCGCAGTCATTTGCCAAGCTATTTACTTGCATTAACCAGAGAGATCCTATTATCGATGCAACTTCAAAGACGCTCCAAATGACTGTAATAGGGATGGGATGGTGCGCTTCAAAGACGCTCCAAATGACTGTAATGGGGATGGGATGGTGCCGGGCCAAACAGGGCAAACAACACAAAAAGAACAATGGCAAGTTTTAAATAGGCAAAATACTGGAGAACATGACTGGACTGTGTTTAGCCCTCCACGCAGTTTGGATGTTTCTACAGCTAACGGGCTCACGCTACTTGGACTATTCGTTACGATATTGCAAAGACAGGCTTGGAGTCCGAACCATGACTCGAAACAGTCTTGAAACCTAAATTTAAAGCCCCCCCCAGACCATGCTCGAAAAAACACTCAAACAGGCTCAAATTTTGAAACTTAATCCATTTTGATACGCTCACCTTGGCAACACTGGGCTCACGCTACTTGGACTATTCGTTACGATATTGTGAAGACAGGCTTGGAGTCCGAACCATGAGTCGAAACAGTCTTGAAAACTAAATTAAACCCCCCCCAGACCATGCTCGAAAACACTCAAACAGCCTTAAATTTTAAAACTTAATCCATTTGGATATTCTCACCTTGGCAACACGAATTTGAAACTCAACCGTGTCTAAAAAGCTAAATTGGGCTTTTGGTCCCGATTTGAAAGTGTAACCTTTGCTTCGAACCTTCTGTGTGAAATCCTAAACCGGGCTTGAAACCCTTCTTCATAGACATTATTTTTGGCTTTATTTAAAGCGAACAAAACTAGCTAACCAGCTAGCATGAATTTGACAGGAATGTATTTACTCGTACATGCTGGCATTCGCTACACAGCATTTCAGTGGACTTGCTTGCGGCTAACGAGGCCAAATGAGGAGTTTGTCATGGTGTCGTAAGAAAGGTGATGCAGGAGTTCTTCGCCCTGTCGCCAAAGGTCGCTGCCATAGATAAATGAAGAAAGATACGTGACCTCTTGAGACTAAATGTCAGTGCCCATTAGGTGAAAAATGACTCATATTTCAGAGCAAAGCAAGGTGCCGCTGCACAGCGGTCGGTGTAGACTTTGAGCTGGGTCACAACAACAAGAAGAAAGCATATGTTGATGAGTGATCCGTGAAGGTGTTATGGAGCGGTATCGATCGGAATTGTTAATGACCTGCACAACAAGTGGAAGCACGCAGCAAGCGGTTCAATCAAAAGCACTGAGTTTATTCAACACTGACATCTGCTGGCCATAACCGAATACGCACATGTACGACGCGCCCCAAGAAGTCTCTTTTTGGGGATGCCCATTCGGTAAACGGGTTGAAACCCCTAACCCTTGTTGAAAACCCGAAATCAGGCTAGAGGCCCTAATTTCAAACCATCATTTCACTTTCAAACGCTAACCCTTGTTTAAGAACCTTATTTGAAACCTTAAATGAAAGCCTGATCCATGTCTTAATTTTGTTGCTATTGCTAACAGTCAATTTGACCAAAGCAGTCTTTAAACCATAATTTGAAACGTCAAAACCTACCTTTGTTTAAAACCCTGACTTGGAACACTAACATTGACTAAAAACCCGAATTTGAAACCCAAACCCATGATGGTTGTGCCTTACAGTCCAGCATCTTTTAAACATGATCAAACTGTTTAATTTTGTGTCAGTTTTCCTAATTAGTCCTCGATTTTATCTCGGTCATTGGCGACTCAGACCCACGTTGAGTAATCACAACTTTTAATTGGGAGTGTGCGCCCTGATTGATCTACCTTAGCGTTAAAGAAAATGAGATTTTCTTATCTATAATTCTTCAGATCAAATCTATGCAGTCGGCACAGCAGCATTTGCGAAGTGAGCCGCTTCCGCGGGGTGTGCGGCGCTATTAGAAGAGCAAATAGCAACCCCCCCCGACAACTTTTGCACAAACCTCGGGAGAAACACTCGCTGTGACATATTACTGTAAGTGTGGGGGACTTAATTACAAAGCGTCCTCTGGGATTTGGGTTGAGATAACTCGGCTTTATCACATGGACAAAGTAGAGGAAGTGGACCATTCTGCTCGGTCCCTGTGATGACGCCGTGCAGACAATCCAATTTCAGGGCTCTGCAGCTGAACCAGGCACCGTGCGCGGAAACTACCTCCTCCCTTCTACACCAAAGTACATCTGGAAAACGTCGCAGCAGCCTTTCTCCTCCAAGAACTGGTAGAGCAGGCCCAGGTCCATGTGGTTCCCTCGACTCCCACGCGGGTCGAAGGCCGCCTCCTCGAAGCCGGAGAACTTGCGCAGGGAGTCGATGCTTTGGTTGCTCGGCGTGTCGCGTAGCCCAACGTCTTCTCGGTGCCGAATCGTGATCCGCTTCCAAGTCAGGTTCTTCACTCTGCATGATGCCGACAACGTTTAGCGTCTCGGGCTAACGGATTGGCTTCAGACGGGTAATACTGTATGATGGACAAGTGAAACATTGGTTTCATACACGATTCGAAATCCCACCACAGGCTTGCAGCCCTAATTTGAATCCCTGACCCAAAATGAAACACTAATTTCAAGCCATCACCTGGGCTTGAAACACTTATACAGGAAACCTTATGTTGAGACCTTAACAACCCTGCCTTGGCTTCTGACCCTAACCCTGTCTCTTAACTCTTATTTGAAACCTTGACTTTGGCTTTACACACTGCAACCCTAACCAAGGCTTGAAACCAGAAACTGAAACCCTAAACCAGGTGTGAAATGCTAATTTGAAACCCTTAGCCTTGTTTGAAACCCTAACCCTGTCTTTCTACTCAAAAGCCGAACCATAACTTTGGCAAAACCGAGCCAGGAAACCTTAAATTGAAACCCGAAACCAGGGTGACACCTTAAATTAAACCAAGCTTGAAACCCAAACCCTGACATGCCCTTATAGCCCTTAACCAGGTTTGAAACCCGAATAAACCTACCCCTTGTTTAAAACCTTAAATTGAGACCCCAGCCTTGGTTTCAAAGCCTAACATGTCTTGAAGCTCGACTGTCTTCCAACTCCTTAAATGCAAGAATACGTTTGAAACCCAAATGTCTGGAAATGTCAACCAAAGTTACCTGGACCAGAACTCCTCGCAGGCCCCCTGTGCACCTTCCACACAAACAATGCCGGGCTTCCCGGGCATGCTGAAACCGGACAGTCCGAGCTCCTTGGCCCACTCTAAGATGTTCTTCCTCTTGGTGCTGTTGTAGATGTGATGGCTGTAGATCCACAGGCGACTAAACGCCTCCCGCGGCGGAGGCGAGGCCGCATCGCCCTTGCAAGCAGGAGGCGTTGGCGCCGAAGAGCTTTTGTCAACAAAGGCGCACAAGTTCTCCCTCAGCCATTCCAGCGCTGACAGCACGCACACGTCTCCCAGGCAGGCGTCCGCCAGGTGCGCTTTGAGTCCAGCGTGGAGCTGTGTCTGCTGCGCACGGCTCAGCCCACAACACCTAGAGAAACATCCTTTATAAGTGATACAACCACATTTACAATGTATTTTATTTTCTTGTGTGTGCCTGGCACTGTCATACTTTACTAATAACACAAAAACACAAAAAAGGAAATCAAACTCTGGACCTCCTCTTGTGACAATTTGAGCTCTTCTTCTCTGCCTCAAGGGAATGACCACAAATCGATGCACCCTGAGACCACCAACAGGCCGCTGGTGTAACTGCGGGCAGCCACGTTTCACTGACTGGGTTGATGTAAAGTGTATTTTTATTTTTTAAAGATGTGAATGACTGTCAATAGATTACACTCAGTGATTGGATAGTGACTAATCCCATGTATACATTTCAACGCTAAGAACACATTTTTTCCTTTGAGAATACGGCAATTCGCCTGAGCTGATGCTTCTGTACATAGTTAAGAATAACCTTATAAAAATTAATGAACACACATAAACCGCATTTTTACTTCTTAACAGTCTTTGTTCTTACCGAACCGTTAACTCTGGGACCACACTAGGATATTCAGGTGGATACGTGCAGGTGAGAATAAAGTCCACCTGTAAAAACGACATGAAAGAATGTGACATTTATATTGATAAATGAATAGTTTATTCATCAATTCTCAATGACAGAATGGGGCACTTTACACTTTGTTTACCCCCTTCTGCGTCATCCTCCAGCCTCTGCTTGATGACGAACTGGGGTCTGGAGGAGGGAGGTGGTGCCGGTGGGCTCTCGGTGGAAACCGACGGCGAACCCTCGGCGCCGGCATAGTCCCGGAGCTCGGCCAGAGCCAGCTGGTCCACGATCTCCAGTTCCTCGTGAGTGGGGAACATGCTGGTCAGCAGCTCGAGTTCTGCCAGCTGTGCCGCTGCCCACTCCCGGAACGACATGTTAAAATGACTATTATGTATTTTATCAAAAGTCAATCATAGTTTTGATTTCCCACTTGATGCACCTAAAGTCGCTTTAGGAGACTTTTCTATGACACGTCCACGTTGAAGCCAAGCACAAACGGATGCTTCCATTCCACCCGGAAGGTTATGGAAGACGCACCAAAATAGCATTTTAACCTAGCATGCTACCAGCTTGTGCTCACCCCCGGAACATTATAGGCGACGCACCGGAAAAAAACACGCCGGACAATCGAGGTCCTTTTTAATTCTTATTTTTAAATGTGCCTAAAATTGCATCATGAGAGTTTACCCGTGCTGATTAAAAAAAGTAACACGTCTGTGTTAAATGCAAAGAAAGAGACACGAGCGACCTCACTTGACTTGATTCGTAGCTTGGCAATGACACGCTCAAGACACACCGGAAGAGCATAGACACCGCACACATGAAAACGAAGCCGTCACTTTTTGTTCCGCCTCCTTATCTTCCGCTATAGAAATGATTGACTCCTGTTTGGTCTGTTAAATCGGCGCCTTTTTGCTCGCCGAATGCGTACAAATGTGCCCTCGAAGCGTGATTCCATGGGGAATTTGGTGAGATGTCTACATTAAAGTTGGCGTCTGGCGGAAAAAGTAAGCGAAAGTGAACGTGTGACGTGGGTCGCCTCCGTGTGTGTCCAGTCAGTCTCCTCAAGCAGGGAGTTGAATTACGTGATGGCATTACGTGCTCGAATTCGACTTTGATCTTCACGTAAGTGGCTTATTTATAAGCAATATTACAACAAAAATACGTCACGTGCGGTTTCCGTCTGTAATAGCGGAAAATAGGGGAAACATGGGGAAGAAAAAAGCGAAGGACAGGAGCTCCAGAGAGGATGATGAGTTTGAAATGACAGGTACGCGTGCTTGCATCTTCACAAAAGTGATGAAGAGTAGCTTGATCCTTCTCCACAACTGTGTTTTATCCTCTCAGGTCCAGTTTGCAGGCACATTAGGAAAGGCACAGACCAGACTCTTCTCAGGAAGATCTCTGACGTATTTGACGGGACACGTTGCCAGGACTGCAAAAATGAGGACAATAAAGAGAACAGAAGCACTGACCCTTCTGGCGACTCTGAGGATGAAAATGACTCAGTGGTGGAAGTGTGGATGTGCATGAAATGTGGCCACAGAGTGAGTTCATGTCACCTCTTGATTTGTTTGGACAGCAAGAAGGGTATTATTGAAACTTTTCTTTTAAGGGATGTGGACGAAGCTCAGAGAACCAACACGCCATCAAACACTACGAAACGCCGCGGTCTGATACTCATTGCCTGGTGATCAGCTTGGACAGCTGGAGTGTTTGGTGAGTGTACGTGTTTACTTTCCGTGGGATTTGCTTGAAATGTGAAAGTTAAGATTTGTTTTTGGCCTTTCACCTTTGTAAGTCACTTCCACCTCTGCTCCTCCTTCAGGTGCTACGAGTGCGACGATGAGGTGCGGTACTCTGCAAGCAGTCAGTTGGCTCAGCTGGTGAGCAACATCAAAAAGAAGATGCAGCTGGAGTCTGTACAGAAAACAGAGACAAGTAAGTGTAAAACACAGCGGAACCGCTAAGACCCAGCACACAAACTGTTATGGGACTGTTTAAGCCATTGCACTTGTCTGCATCCTTCATTTCCAGACGCGTGTACAGTCCTGCCTTTAACTGATGTCGCCGTTAGTTCTGTTTCTTGTTCGATGGGTTATCGTCATTGTCATTTCTCCTCCTCGCCATCGCTGTCACAGAAAATGACGTGTTGGAGGTGCGACCGAAAAGCGTCACGTTCAAGACAGAAGAGGATGAAGACAAAGAGAATGTCAGGAACCGGAGCTGCGAGAGGAAGACCACCAGGAAAGTGTCTGTGTGCAAGTCGCCAAACTCCAGTAGCTCAACGGAAGACAACAGCGGCGTTCCCGTCCGGGGGCTCAGCAACCTGGGAAATACTTGTTTCTTTAACGCCGTCATCCAGGTGAGCTTTAAAAAGACCTTCCAAACAAGACAAATGAATCCATGGGACGTGTCACCAAATGTTTTCTTGTGTCCTCGTTGCAGAACCTCTCGCAGACGCAGATGTTAAGACAGACCCTGAACAAGGTGATAGAAGACAAGACCAGCCTCAGTGTCAAACCTGCTACCTCCTCCACACTGGTACATTTTTCTGACTCGACTGTATTAACCTGGAATAAGTTATTTCACACATCTGTCCACAACTACAAAAAATGCTATTTTTATTCAACTCTACTTTTTAATTGGAAAGGCCGCATAATGTCGATAACGTACCTGAAAATAAGAATGATGTCATTATTGCCTTTGAACGGGTCAATGATTGACACCATTATATATTCTGATTAATGACATGTTTTACTGAGCAACTTGGACACAGATGCCCCCCCCCCCCCAAAAAAAATAGAACACAAATTGGAAAAATACTGGGAAACACTGTGTTTTCATTCAACAAAGCCCAAATTGTTTTGGAGAAAAAAATTTAAAACAATGGCACAAAATGTCGTTCGATAATCACTTAAAAATAAACCTGGCCAATTCTAACTTGGACTTTTTGTGACCGCAGGAGGCCGTTGTGGCCGAATTGGATCGGCCCGGCTCGCTAACGATGGCGATGAATCAGCTCCTCAACGAAATCCAAGAGTCAAAGAAAGGCGTGGTGACACCACTGGAGCTGTTTGCGCAAGTTTGTAAAAAGTGAGCACCGACCGCTACAAATGCTGACGTCAGAACCGACAACTTGAGTGTTGCGTCACGGCTTTGTCTCGTTGGCGCAGGGCTGCGAGGTTCAAAGGATTTCAGCAGCAAGACAGCCAGGAGCTGCTGCGCTACCTCCTCGACGGCATGAGGGCAGAGGAGAGCAAAGTATGCCATTGGTGGCCAGCGAAAGGCTCAAATGATTGCGATGACATGAATTTGATTTGCATGACACGCGTGCGTTCCAGTAGCATTCACATGCATTCTTTCTGTATTCCTCACTACTCTTTGGTTGATTTATATTTTAGATATTTGATCACTTTGACTGCGAGTGGTGCGATATGAACCTATTATTATTAGTATTGTATATATTTTTTTATTGTTTCACTTTTAATCACCTGATTTGTGTCTTTCAGAGGGTAAGCTCTGCAATCACGGAGGCACTGAAACGATCGGGAAAAGTCACAGATGCAGAGGAGCTCAAATCCGTCATTAAAGGTAAAGTTGAAATTGGCGCTGTATTTTATTATTTTTTTTGTTTTGTTGTTTTTGGGGTGGGGGCTTGCAGTTGTTACTTAAAGTATGCCATGCATCTGTTTGATGAGCAGAGTATGAGAAAAACGGGCTACCTCAAAATTTTGTGGACCAGGTGTTTGGCGGAGAGATGACCAGCACGATCATGTGTCAGCAGTGTAAAACGGTACCCCAAACCCCAAACGTTCACAGTTCATCATGCCAACACATATTGATGCTCAACGGCTCCTTCTTTTACTCTCACAGGTGTCTGTGGTCACCGAGATGTTTTTGGACCTTTCTCTTCCAGTTTCTGATCAGGTAAAAAAAAAAAATGTGTGCGCGTGTTTTGTCTTCCCATTAAAAAAAAAAAGAAAACATTGAAAACTACAGTGTAAGTGTGAGGCTGCGGGTTGACTTGAGAGCAAAACAAATATGAGCATTCAGTGCTGGCAACAAATGCAGTTCACTTCTCAAGTAGTGTTTTGCCACGGAGTGAAATCTTCAAAACAAGCTGTTTATTTTTGCCACTTGCAGTTAAAGTTTACCGTTAAACTAAACATAAAACAAAGAGAAATGAAAACAACCACATCACTTTGAATGTCCGCTAGCTTAATGCTAACACACGAAAGAAATGACTGCATTATACTGCCCCCTGGTAGCCAAGACCCAGCACACCAGGAGTACAAAAGTTGGAACGGAATGATGGCATTTCCGTTCATATCAATAGATAAAGATGATTTGAGATATGAGTGTCTTGAGCAAATTAATGGAAAACTCAGGGCACAACCGGAGTCATATACAGTACCGATGGAATTTACCTCAGCTCTAAGGCTTTGAATTTCACTTTAGAAAAGGTTGTGTGCCCTTTTTAAGTTGGATCTTGCATGCGTTTGTCTCTTTGTGTGAATACAGGCATATAGGAAGAAGACCCAGAAAAGAACGGTACGGAAAAGCAGTGAAGCGAGCGAGGACGGCCCGGAAAGTCAGGGCGAAGACGTTCCCGCGGGTAGCAAGTACCAGCAGAAGAAAGCCAAAAAGCAGGCCAAGAAACAAGCCAAGGTAAACTCTCTCTCTCGATAGCCCCACTTGACTGTCATAAGTTTCGTCCACAAGCACAGTGGAGATAGTTCGTTTCAGATTTTTGCAATGAAATACTTTGTCATTGAGTTAATTAGATGCAAACAATGCACATTGGCATATTTTCATTACAGACCATTTTGGATAAGGAAACATGCAGTGGGTCAAATTGACCCTGGGATTATTGCTGGTCCTTCGCGAACACGGGATTTTCCCTCTTGTTAAACTTTGACTTTATTAATGTGATGTTACGGCGTGAGCTTTTAAAAATACAACCTGTTTCTTGTGAGATTGCGACCTTTCACCGCAGAAAAATAGGTTTGCTCTCTTAAAGATTGCAGAATTGAATACAACTCTTCTGACTCCCCCACAGAAGTATTTTTCTAAATTCCTATGGCATTCAGAGCTACACATAGTAGTGACATTTCCATCCTTGGAAAAACTCCGTGGACCCACAACTGTAAGACTTCCCATTTCTTCCTTTTTGTCTCCGCAGCATCAAAAGAGGCAGCAGAAGCTGGAGAGCCGAGTCAGTTTCAACAGTCTCGCGTCTCTGAATCAAGCGAAAGATCTCGCAGAAGATGTTGAGAAGCGGGAAGGGGATTCCGCACAAACCGGCATCCCTGAACAAAACCCGCCTACCCTCGACGCGGTCCAACCTGACAAGGAGGAAGACAAAGGCGACTCTGTCAACAATTCTCATTCGGAATCCTCCTGCAACCGCTTCACCGCCTCACCAGAAGCGCGCTGCTCCAGCGACGGTGTCTTGGATGACGACGACTTCTTGCTGGCCAACGAGATGGAGAAAATCAACTTGAACGACGCCTTCATCGAGTCGGACTCAGTGGAAACGTGCCCGGAGAGCGAGGACGACGGGCCGGGGGATGAGGCCAAGGAATACGTGGTGGTCAACCAGGACCCGGAGCTGGCCTTCCAGACTTTGGCCCGCAGGCCTTCGCCCGACAAGCAGGAATGCTCGGTGGAGTCGTGTCTGTTTCACTTCACGGAGGAGGAGATCCTCAGTGAGAATAACAGCCTGCTCTGCGTCTGCTGCACGAAACGGCAGGCAAACAAGGACAAATCTGCGGGTAAGAAAGTGTGCGTGGAAGAGTGGAATGACTTTCTTTTAAAGGGGACACTTTATTTGGGGGGGGAGTGGTGGCACTAATCAAAAGAGTTACCGGGTGTTCTCATAACTTGTCTAGACTGTGATGTCCTTTCGTCCAAATAGGATGCAGAATTATAGCACACTTTTCAACCAGCGTTTCAGTCTTGTCAAGTGCGGCTTTTCATTACCATGGCAGGGGTGGGGCTTGGAAATTGAACGAGGCAAGCGACTTCTACTTGCGGCAGCAGAGTCCTGAGCGTTGTGGGAGAGCGGAAAAGCATTTTCAATTGTGGAGGCAGCACTTCACACGCCACACTTCAGATCTGTGCAAAAAGCGCATGCAGCAGACACATCGGTTTATTACATCCATCCATCCCGTTGCTTGTGATGTGGCAATTTGGGAACATTCAAAAAGGCTTGATCACAAACACTTTTTCAGAATTGGCCAAAATTTGGATTTACAGCAAATGAGCCACCGCTACTGACCGGGCCAACGCTCAATGCGCCTTTCAATACTATGACGACCGGGGGCGGAGCTAGTGGTCAGGCAAAATAGCAAGCACACGTGAATGCAGTTTACAGCCCGCTTGCATTTTCACTCATTGAGGCAGAGCTTTCTTCGTAAGTTGCCACATTACTCTTTCCTAATCACGTGGTGGATCCGTGCATGTGGCACATGCAGCGGACGCAGGACCAAACACAAATATCCCCCACACTAAACAGCCAACATTTTTGCAACTAATCAGAAGATAATGCTGATCTGTGCCGACACTGAACCTCTGCTCGGTTCTTGGCTTACGCACTGTGTGATTCTATGTTGTCCAAATGTTGCTTGAAAATGGCAGATCTGTCTTCCCACTTTTCTGGAAGTCAAGTTTTGTGTAATATGTCCTCTCAAATGTTCTCTGGCTAGGATCCAAGAAGAACGTTTACACGGAGGCTTCCAAGCAAATGCTGATCTCCTCTCCGCCACCGGTGCTCACGCTTCACCTGAAGAGATTTCAGCAGGTGATCCGGCAGGAGGAACAAACATTCAAATTCACGCATTTCCCCATCTGTCCGCAGTAAAGCATTTCCTGTTCTGTTCAATTCCCTTCTTTTATTTCCTCCAGAACGGCTACGGTATTTGTAAAGTGAACCGACACGTACCCTTCCCCCTGATACTGGATCTCGCCCCCTTTTGCGCCCTCAAGAGTAAGGTAATGTGGTTTTGAGGATGCCGTTTTTGTTCATTAGAATCCGATTTTTTTTGTTTTTTTGGCCCAATATCTCTCTCTCGGCTGAATATGTTGAAAAAAATTCTTCAATTTCTCACTTTATTTTTATGTCTGCAATTGCTTTCATTTCTCAGTAGTCAGGGTGCATGTCGAGGTCCCACAGGTTGCGGTACCCCGTTGGCGGGGTGCCAAAAAGTGTGACGGAAACTTCTCTTGGAATAATAACACATTTGTTTCTCCCTGCAGAACGTGGTAGAAGGTGAACGTCAGATTCTCTACAGCCTGTACGGCATCGTGGAGCACAGCGGCACCATGAGGTCCGGTCACTACACAGCGTTTGTGAAAGTGCGACCCAAAAGCTCCAAATTGTCCTCCAGCAGGCTTGAAGGTAAGAACAAGTTGCAGAATGGATAGAATTGAGGGAAATGCAAGAGTTAAGTTTTAGCTGTAATACCCATTTTGATAACTTGGCACTTTTGAAAGTTAATTTACATAGTGCTAAAAAAAAAATCACATTTAAATGTCATTTTTTGCTAATATTGTGAACAGGCAAGCAAATTAGTCGATGAAAAATGGGAGGCAAAAAAAAAACAAACTTTCTTGAGTAAGGCCATGGTTGGCAAATATATTCATTCTCTGAATGTGTTGCGTCATCTGCTGTAATGCTTTTTGGTTGCTGTCCCTCCATCTCTGCTGTTGCCATTTAGTTTTTTTCCCCACATTTGTAAGATCTCATTCAGTCAAGATCACCTGCAATTGTCTTTCCCGCTGTACTGTAATTTGTCTTTTTTTCCTCAATGTTGTTGTAAAAAATTGTGTTTTGGGACTAGAAACTAGAAAGTACAGATATCAGTTTTCAGAAAAATAAATGCTCAAATAAAGAAGAGATTACTCGAAAAGTATCCATAGGTTTTTGTACTGAAAATAATGAACTGATTATGAGCCCAACCAAAGTTTTCTTATCAGATCTGCTCGAATGCAACTGATGAAACCTATCTCCACGTTTTTATTAGGAGAGCCACCCCAAGGATCGTGGTTCCACATCAGCGACACCAGCGTGCAGCCCGTGAGTGAGAGCAGAGTGCAGAGTAGCCAAGCCTACCTCCTGTTCTACGAGAGGATCCGCTAAGAATCATCAAATCTGTGCCTCTATGCCCTCCTGCTGCTCAAGCTCTACCATACACCGTACAGAATTTCTCTCAGTGTCACTGACTTGATGGTGACTTCTCAGAGGACATTTAGTGCTGATGTTTTACAGCTGTTTTGTTTCTCAGACTCATGGGAACGTGTCAAGGTGTGCAAACACAAGGTCCAAACGTTTACAAAAAGAGATTTGGACAAAAACTCAGTAATTCCATAGAGTGGACGATGGTGGTGGAATTTTAAGCAAATACATGTTTATTTTGTATGCCCATGCAATAAAACACAGAACATGAAAATACGTTCCCTGTCTCTGGAAGGGCTATGCCCTTAGCGCATGCGCAGTTACTCGTAAGTCTTTTCCCTGCACCGCTTTTGCTGACTGGGGTTCCGGATGAGCACATTCGTCTCGACTCATATCACACAAATGGTACCGCTAACGAGCTGACACTCCAGGTTGGTGTTCAATCTATATGTTAACCGTTTTTATTAAACTAGCATAGTTTTTACTGTCTTAACTTCAATGAGCTGGCTTGAAATTACATGACCATAAGCGCCTCGCCTAAGCGGAGGGAGCGCTCCGTCCCCCTCCTTTTTTTTTTTCAAACTTAGTCCGAAGACTTTTATATAAACATTTTTCGCCAAAAAGAATCAAACGTGTCGTAAAATGAGTTTGTCGCCATCGAGCTTTGTTCCCCCTTCGCTCCCCCGTGTGTGTTTGGCCAAGTTGGCCAATCATGAGTCAGCATTTTAAACTTGTCTTGACGAGCAGAAAAGTGCTAATAAGGTCGCTAACAGTTTACGCGACAAGTCATTCCATACACCCACGTAAGCTGTGCCAAACGTTATACCTGTACAAAAATAATGCGCAATTTGTTTGATTTAAACTGTATGGAAATGCATTGTGTGATGCCGAAAGGTGTTCCTAATAATATGGTCCTCATGTTTGACACCATTGCAAAAACAGTGTGAGCACATACGCATCTTAGACAAGTTTTCGTTAATGTGTGGATATAAACAAGACTGAGAAGTACTTTTAAGTGACCCCCTTTTGTAGTTCATGCTCCGCATTTTTCCTAACAAATGCTTGGGGAATAACTGGCTGAAAAAAAGCCTTTCCATCAATGATAAAAAATGGAAATGCATGCTATGTTTCTGGTCAAAAAATATCAATAGTAATGTTTTGATCAATGGCAGTAGAGTGACCAAAATATTGACCGTGACAGCACTTTCATTTGAAGTATATAAGTTAAACACGATACAAAGAGAATTACATAATGTGTATTTAAAACAACTTAAATGCAAACAATGCAAAACACCAGACACGAGCTTTTGTATAACATTGGTGTCGTGATGCTGTTGCGCTTTAAGCAATGAATATTTGAACACAAACGTTGGAGCAACACATTTAGGCAGATAAGCATAATAATAATAATAATAATAACGACCAAATGACTGAAATTTAGGCGTGAGGTCTCCCTGCATGTCTTTAGTGTACTGCCCTGAGATGGCCATTTTTTTATCAAGTAAAATCCTCTGAAGTGCTGCTTTCTATTTCCATTCCTTTAAATGGTCCCCATTTAAAGGAATGGAAATAGAAATTTGATTTGAGATGCAAGTGTTTCGAGCTGCCAGCATGATCAAGAAACGATTTCAACTCTTACTTAATGACAGCAGTGTGTCACAGAATCAACATTTTTGAAGTAAATCGCCTGAAATCAAATTGAAGCCATTGATGAAGCCCCTGCTTTCTCTTCACTCCGCAGGCCGAGTGAACCATGCTACTCCAAGCCCAGCGCGTGTCTGTGTTCACCTTCCAGTCGGCCGTACACAGCGCTCACGTTCTGCAGTGCTTGGACGAGCAGCGGCGTCATGACGTTCTGTGCGACGTGACCGTGGTGGTGGAGGGCCGCCGCTTCCGCGCCCATGCCGCCGTCCTGGCCTCGTGTAGCGAGTACTTCCACAGCCGCGCCGCTGCTGCCGACTCAAAACACAACTCTGTTGTCACCCTTCCGGATGAGGTCAGTTCGGGATCTCCATCCAGGCTATTGTGTTTGCCACCTTAAACGTGAACGAAAAAGAATGACAATAGGAAGTACTTCAAGCGCAACAGTTTTTGCTGGTAAAATGGAAATCTATATTTGATCGTGCCTAATCAATTGTCCGCCCCTTTTGCCTCAGGTGACAGTGCAGGGCTTTGAACCTTTGCTCCAGTTTGCTTACACATCAAAGCTGCTCTTCACCAAAGAAAACATCCATCAGATTCAAAGCTGCGCCCAATTCTTGGGTTTTTGCAACCTGGAATCGGCATGCTTCGATTTCCTCATCCCCAAGTTTTCCGAGCCCAAAGCGCAGCTTGTCAAGCAGCGGGTCTGCTGTCAAGGTGGCGAGGCGAAGCTGCGCAGCTCCGACTTGCCAACGGACCTCCCGTCGCCGTTCCCTTTGGCCGCTCCTGTTCCCGCTCGCGACTTGTGTTTGGAAACCTGCGGGCCGCAGATGCCTTCGCTATCCCTGGACTTGTCGGCCAACATTGTGTGTCCGATGTTATCTCTGCCCGATCCGGACGATGCGGCTCATGACTCTCAGATGTGCGCCGGGGACATTTTGGCTGTGGAAGACGTTTGTGGCCAACGCCAGTTGAGTCTGCCGGAGTTGCCGTGCGAACTGTCGACGGTGGAGCACGTGGATCCGCAAACCGTGATTGGGCCCGGGGAGACTCTCGACGTGGGCTGTGGCCTTGTTCCTTGTCCTGGTGCCGAAGATTGCACGCAGTTATTAGAGGAGTCAGCCAAGGATGAGGGATGCTCTGAGAGAAGCAGGGAGGAGCGGGAAGTGGCCGAGCATCTGGCCAAGGGATTTTGGTCAGACCTGTGCACTCCACCTCCGGCTCAGATCATGCCCGCCTTGGACCAGAGCAATGGGGAGAAAGCCTCCTCGGACTTCCATTGGCTCAAACAACTGGACCTTGCCTCCAATCCGGCCGACTGCCCTTTCCTCAGGGAGCTCGGCACGAGTGAGGAGCCCAACTCGCGCGCCGACGCGCTGTCCCAGTCGGAGAAGAGCCCCTGCATTTCCTCACTCAACTCGGGGGAGGACTCCGATATGGACAGCGACGGAGATACGGAGGCGTCGACGGTGGAGCACGTGGATCCGCAAACCGTGATTGGGCCCGGGGAGACTCTCGACGTGGGCTGTGGCCTTGTTCCTTGTCCTGGTGCCGAAGATTGCACGCAGTTATTAGAGGAGTCAGCCAAGGATGAGGGATGCTCTGAGAGAAGCAGGGAGGAGCGGGAAGTGGCCGAGCATCTGGCCAAGGGATTTTGGTCAGACCTGTGCACTCCACCTCCGGCTCAGATCATGCCCGCCTTGGACCAGAGCAATGGGGAGAAAGCCTCCTCGGACTTCCATTGGCTCAAACAACTGGACCTTGCCTCCAATCCGGCCGACTGCCCTTTCCTCAGGGAGCTCGGCACGAGTGAGGAGCCCAACTCGCGCGCCGACGCGCTGTCCCAGTCGGAGAAGAGCCCCTGCATTTCCTCACTCAACTCGGGGGAGGACTCCGATATGGACAGCGACGGAGATACGGAGGCCAACAACAGGAGAGCGGCCGAGGTCAGCTGGTGTTTGGTTGTCAACTGAATTTGTGCGGCGGTCGATCAGGAACCTATGATGACACTTGAAGTCAAATATGAAAGACAGAAAGTCCGGCGGTAAATTAGGGACGCCTGTATTGTCTTTGCCTCGTTGACATGTGTATCAAGTGACTGGTTAGATGCCGGATTCATGCCTAAAGTAGGGGTGCACATCATTGTTCAACTTCAGTACCACATGTGAAATATTGCTTCATGCTTTGAATGTGGTAGAAAGCATCGGGATCGTTATCAGGCTTCTTCAAAGCTTGCCGATGAGCTGAATCGGGTGTGTTGAAGGACTGAAACATCAAAAACAGGCAGCATAGGGGCTCTCGAGGACCCGACTTGGGCACCGGCGTACTCTGCAATAATATATTGTTGTCACCCCCGTGCAGATTCAGCTGCCGTTCCCAGTGGAGCAGATCTCCACGCTGAGTCGCAGCGCTTTCCAGCAGCTTCTCAAGCGCCATTCCATGACGCCCGAGCAGCTGGAGTTCGTTCACGACGTCCGGCGCCGGAGCAAAAACCGCGCGGCGGCGCAACGATGCAGGAAGAGGAAGATGGACAGCATACACCATCTCGACAGTGAAATCAAAACCTTAGTAAGTCGCTCGCCATTTCTCTGACACTCGCTTTCTGTTGTCTTGACTTGAGCACAAACCCCTCAACTCAGGAGGTGCACCCAACACCAATGTTCCAGAAGCAAGAAAATCCACTCAGATGGCGTTTCTCTCTTGTTGCAGAAAAGCGAGAAGGCAAAGCTGCTTCAGGAGCGCGCAGAACTGGAGCAGAACCTGGAGGAAACCCGCCAGAGTCTTTGCAGGCTGTGCAAGAGCGTCAGCGCCGAGCCCGCCTCAGACCAGGACCACCTGCACTTCCTGGCCAAGCTCTCGGCGCCGGACTTCCCAGCGTCGCTGCACCTCGTGGATAAAGATGCGTGAAGATGAATCGAAAAGCGGTAAGTTCAGAGGCTGCGGCCTGGACGTACTTAACATTTCCAAATATCCGTGTCCAAGGACTGTTTTTTTTTGTTTTTTTTAATATCACAGACAGTCGTCACTCCTACATGGATTTTGCTTGTATTGCCTTTTTAATTAACATCAACATAGTTCTGAATTTTACTGTAGCCTAATTACGAGTGTGTTACTAACCATAGAGTAGGCATCCGTTGGTTGATTTCTCAGGGAAAGACTCAACCTGATCCCTACGCCGGCACATTAACAGACCCCCTCCCCCCCAACGAGTTTTTATGATCATTGTCAAGTGTTATGATACTGTACCGCGATACTGTGTCCCGAAACAAATATGCAAAGTACCGAACTTTTTAAACGCGCGTTATCGGTAGTCTGGTTACAAATAAATGCATGCATGGCTTGATGAGGAATGCTTCGAGTGCCTTGAAATGGGCACGCAAGAGAAAAGAGTCGTGCAAATTGTGCCTTATGCATTTGTTTTTTTCTTTCTAATTACCAAGCACTGATGCACATTAACCTAGAGCCTTTATTGATATCTGCTTATGGAGTGGTTTTTTTTCGTCAATGTTTTCTTTGAAATAAAACATCCTTTTGTGTTTACAAGCCACGCCGATGAACTGGTCATCAAAAAATGGGCAGTAGTAACGCAGCTGCGCCTGTAGGTGGGAGTACAAGTCAACGATTCCGTTGCTTGCGGGCTGAAATGTATGCAAGTGCAAGAATGGTCTGCTGTCGAGATGTGTAATTCACAGATGTGTGACAAATGAGTTCTAGCAAACTATGTGTTTGTAAAAATGACAAAACACTGACACAGTTGTGGATTTGACTGCTGCTTGAAGGAAGTGAAAGCAAAATGCTGATCTGGCAACAAACTCGACACGGTTGGAAAGTGAGAAGTAAAACAGCATTCTGCCATATTTGTCACTCAAAAATAGGAAATGCAGTCGAAGAGGGAATCTTCCCAACAAACCTAACACCTTATTAGGATTGGTTTTCTTTGACTTTTTATTTTCTGTTTTGGATTTCAATGATGACGAGCAGCCAATCAAAAATCAAGTCAACGAAAGCAGCACCAAGATCCTAATTTTTTGTACAAAAGCCTTTCAAACACGTCCTGACTGTCCCTTATTTCATCTCATTCATTTTGAGACAACTGACACATAAAAATGAGACCAAAAAATGAGACTAAGATAATTTCAAAACCTTTTCCACCTTCAATGAGACCGATAACGTGTACAACTTTGTTGAAAAGCCTACTAGAACATCTCAACTTCATCTGGATTTAGTCCGAGTTATTTTAAATGGCAGCAGTTACGTGATGACTCCCATTTAACGTCACTTTGAATGTGATTAGTTGATTCTGAACACAGCCCAGCAACGTCCTCATTTTTATAGCTGGGTGTGCACACATTTGCAACCTAATTGTTCTCCTTGTGTAGTTTTATCTCCCCTCTCCAACAGATTCCCCACCAATCAAGTTGTACGTGTTACAGATCACATTAATGACAGTTTTGAGGTGATTTACCTTGATCTTGGGTTTTTTGTTTTGTTTTGTTTTTTAAATCCCCAAAAACAACGTGAGACCCCTGCAAACTTGGTTTTACTATTAATAGACCTATGCTTGAGTATATATAACACAATACCATAAAGAGCTGAAAACATAACTCCCAAATTCCAAATACAATTTTGGTCATTTAGAGTATTTCTGTGCAGACAATGAAAAAAGAAAAAGAAAAAAAAACGGTCCACATGACCCCCAATAAGGGCCCAGTGTTTTTGTTTATTAATATTTGTTATCCTTTATTGTGCTTATATAATTAAGATGGGGATAGCTCACACACACACACACACACACACACACACACACACACACACACACACTAAATAAAAACTCAGATGGGTTAAAAGCAAACCGCAACAAGGCAGAGTTTTCCTCGAAGCGTAACCAACGCAAAAACCACAGAGCAGTTGGTGGGTGGCTCGCAATTGTGTACCACTCAAGATGACATTTCTTGCCTCGCCGCTAATACTTTTGCATCGGCCTGTCGCTCGACTTCCCATCGCCGACTCAAAAGTTTTTGGTCCACCGTCCTCCCACCCAAGAAGTCAACGTTGGCACACAAGCAGCCCTGCAAAACTGTGTCTCAACAAGCAATGTGGCATCTGCAAATCAAAGGGATTACACGCCCAGACATCAGATATCATCCCCCGCCTCCTTCCGTTCGGCCGTGACACACAATCCTCAAATTGACGTGTGTCAAAGCTGCCTTGACTCTCACCTCCATTCAGCGTACTCCTAATTTACTTCTCCGCAATTCGGATTCTCCCCCGGCGCCCGCATCTTCCATTCGCCGTTTTACAGCGTTTCGGCAAAAGAAAGTACCTCAGTCCTCTTTTTTGCGAGCCGTGCAGAAAAGAGAGCCTTGATTTGAGGAGGAAGAAGCGGCAGCTGCGCGGCATGGCAAGGTCAGAGGCTGCTAATCCGCGGCCTCATTCATGCCAGATTAAAAACCTGCCCCCAGTTCTGATTAAGAACGCAGGGTTAGAAGATTAAAGAGCGGCAAACAAAACCAAAGCAGTTTAAGACCAATCCTGGAATTCATCAGAATACCAAAACCTTAAATCGGTCGTGAACAAGAACTCGATCTGCCAGGTTTCACTCCACTTATCATATCTTTTTAACTGATTCAAAAAAAAAACCAATTTGATATTGTATCATTGTAAGTCTTTGTCGCTTTAGCTGCTTGCTTTCGGCTGTGCTTACGTTTCGCAATTACACCAGCGATTATCCCTCTGAAAGGCAAGAGTTGCTAGCAAGGATTAGGAAACAGGGGGATTAGAAATTAATTAAAACATCTGGAGCTTTGTCCACTTTCTACGCTAAATCACACCACATACGTGCTAATAGAACGCACAAGTAAGTATATCTTACAATTTTTTTCTGCCCAGAATCAGCTACAACAATCGCCAGTGGACTGTACTGGCCCCAAAAAATAGCTTGCATTATTCAGACCACCTTTGATCTGCAACAATATTGGATTTTTTTTTTCCGCAGGGGTCTGAGTGTCACATGGAGAAAAACACAATAGTTGACTATCATTCCCAACATAAGGTCCTCGACCTTTTTTGTGACACAACATTAATCGTATAAGCCGTTAAGCGACTGTATCCTGATTACACGCCGCGCAGTCTCCTTTGAACCTCATTTTCGGCGGCTAGTATTCCGTTGACAGGATTATCGAAAGGAGGACCGTAACACTAAAACGTGTCAGCCAAGTGAGAGAGGCCAGAAGACGGATCGACCCAAGGCTAGCAAAGCGAGCTAACACTCTTGTCTCTTGCTACTTGAGATTAGCCAACAGTTTACTACAAGTGGAGCAGCAAGCATTTTTTTTTTTTAAAGCAACTCTTACTCACGCCTACCTGGCGCTCAGAGGGATTAATCTGAAACGAGTTTTAGTTGGGAAATCGGCTCATATCAGTTCATGCTCGGTCATAAAAGTCAAAAGTGAAGACTTCACCGACATTGTGAGTCACAGTGGCAGCGTAAGATGGCTGCCCTCTGGCTTCAACCGCGAGGAGACAATTGTTAGACTGTCCGACATAAATCCGTGGGAGTAGCGCCAGAACAAATGACTGGACAGTTATTTCGCATTTTTGACACACTACGCCGCCGCACGAAAGAACGTCGAGTTAGAATAGACAGTATCCATTATTTTCAACCAGCAAACTTCACTCGAACACATTTTCACAAAACTCAAGAAGGAACGTGTGGTAAATTTTCCCTTTGTTTATTATCCCCCGCATTTTTTTCTCACACTGCCCCCTGGTGTTTCGGAATGTCAAATATAACGTACCAGTGAGCTCAAATTGTTCATTTAATGAGCAATTCATAGAAATTCATTGGCTAGTAGTATACAGCAAAGTGGTTTGATCGTCTAAATAACCTTTAGCATGCCAAAAATGAGACAAAGTTTGCAGTGATGTCATTTGTGTAATAATGTGACCAAAACGGTTCGTGCGTGATTGGAAATGGTGGCAAACGGGGAACAAAATAAGAACGTCAACACAGCAATACGAAACAAGCAGCAATCAAAGGGTTAAAAGGGTGTCATGTTTTTCACAGATTTTCTTTTTCTTCATTCAGAAACAATTCTGACGCGACATCTTACATGCTCAAGAGAAAAACGACACACAAACTTGATAAATACAATAAATTTGACAAGAATATTCACTGATAAACAATGTTTTGAAAAGCAGTTGCAGAACAAAAAAAAATGGCGGTAAGTATTGCACACCCGGTTGTTGAATGCCTTTTCAGCATGACTTGACCCACCCCCCCAAAAAACAAAACAAAACATGAAATACATTTTGTTCCACACACACAAAAAAAAGTACAATTTGTGTTTTTGTTTTGCATAAAAACAGAAAGGCCATGATGGTAAAGCATCATGATGTCAAACGCTGACCAGAGTCTATTATCCCCCCCCCAACCCCCCAGGACTTTTTAATGTATTCTTTCAATTAAAATATTCATGAGCTCTACATCAAAACTACAGAAAACACTCAACTCTGCGATTAAAAAGTTTTGATTGTAACAATGCAGTTCACCACGTTCGGACATTTTCTGTCACCCTCCGAAAGGCGGTGCCCAAACGCGTGCGGCGTTCAAGTCCTCGGGCGCGTCCTTCAAAACCAGAGCGCGTCAATACTTGTTGTGCCACTCGCACTGGCCGACGCTCACCTCCTCGATGTCCAAGTTTTTCCTGGATTTGTAGATGAACTCTCCGATAGCCACGAAAACGGAAAGGACCAGTCCGGCCGCCAGCACGATGAAGATGCCGCCGATGTTCTCCACGCCCAGGGCGCTGGCCTCTTTGCTGTCCTCCTCGGGGCAGCCGTTGCCGCGCCACCACTTCTCCTTCATCATGTGCAGCTTGCCTTCCTCCTGAAGCTGCAGGATGGCTATCGTCACTTTGTCTCTGTAAGGGGAGCCTGCGGAAGAAAGCGCAACGCTCTAGAGCAGGGCTGTCCAACTCATTTTTGTCGTGGGCCGCATTGTTGTTTTGGTTTCCCTTAGAGGGTGGTTACGACTGTAAATTTTGCGGAACCATATAAATGTTCAACCACCTCTACGTATGACATACACAGCGAGCAGCAAATAGATTGGTAACGAGTTTGGACCTCAGAAGTCAAGAATCAGAGGTTAAGAGTAACGGATTGTTCAAACATTGTCATTATTCCATTATATACGTGACAATTTGAAATTTTGGTTCAGACTTTAGCAAGCGTCATGGAATTGTTTTTGCTGGCCCAATAAAATGATGTGGCGGGCCAGATCTGGCCCCCGGTCCTTGACTTTGACACCTGTGCTCGAGAGCAACTGAAGCGACGAGGCCTCATCAGGTCGTCAGATATCGGTGCAGTACTGAAAACTACGCTTTGTATTCAGTTCTTCTGATTGTGTGAAGCGCATTGAGTTACCTTTTGTATCAAATGTGTTGAATTGAAATAAAGCCGCCTGGATTGAAAATTCACATTTTACACAATTGATAGCATTGGCTTGTCTTGTGTTCCTGGCGCTCATTTGGTGAAGAAAATCTTGAAGACCAGTTTGTCATTCAAGAACTGCTTTAAATGTATCAAATATATATACAGTATCATAGCAGTCATATGAATTCTCGAGGACGAGTTCGTCGTTGAAGGACTCCTGAAAGTGGCCAAAATGTCAGATCCCCCCATACATGGCTTTTTGAAACATTTTGGTGAGTCTATTCAGGAAAGAAATGTCTGCAGTTGGACTTTGGAGTCTCCATTTTGAAAGAATCCCACAGGCTACCGCTGAGCCTAATTTTCATCCAAATTTGATGTTGCCCCATCAAGCACTCAAAGTGTCACCCCAAAAAATTCCAAATCAGGGCTATGTTAGGTACCTATTGGTGTCCCCACGCCGTAGCCCTTGGAATCGATCAGACCGCCAATCTGCGTGAGGTTGCAGTTGCGCTGGCTGATGTACTCGATGCTGGTCGACTCCATCAGGAGAGCGTAGTCGGTCGTGAGGACCCTCTGGATGCCCTCGCGGTTGTTCTTCACCAAGGCGGTGTTTTTCCGGCTACTCATGAAGGCCCACATCTTCTCGTAGGTTGAGATCTTAGATTTCTGTCGCGGTGAGAGCCAAACGTCTTGACGGGTTGAACAAACAGCTCAACATCATCGACAAAGACAAATAAACTATTTTTATGTGGCCTGAAAACTTTGACCGTTGTGGTCAGTATCATAAGACTGGAAACTTGTTAAATATCCGGATACACTAACCCCACCCACTATTTATAGTTTTGTGCTCAGACAAATTGCAGGCTTTCATGATGACGCTTACCTTGAAAAATGTCATGGTGGATCCGTCTCTGACCGCGCCGTACTCGATTTTGGTTTGCTTGGCCAAGTCGTCGGCGGAGTCGATGGGCGAGTCCATCCTCTCCACCGTGAGAAAGGCAGCCAAGTTAGCGGTGTAGGAGGAAATGATGATCAGCGTGAAAAACCACCAAATTCCGCCAACTATCCGGGTGGACAGGGCCTTGGGCATCAGCTCGGAACCTGAAAGACGATGACGGCGAGGCGTCACAAACGACGGCGACCCGCGCCGATACCGTTGAACCGACGAGCGTACCTTGCTGCATAAGTGCTCCAACTCCGAACCACACGCTGTTTATGAGGGTGAAATTGTTTTCAACCACGTCCGAGTCCGGGTTGCAGGGGTGGGGATTGTACCACTCGTACGGAGTGAACCTAGAGAGTCGAACAGTTGCAATTAAAAAAATATATACAGTATTGCAAATGTGTGTGTGTGTGTGTGTGTGTGTGTGTGTGTGTACGTGTGTGTGTGTGTACGTGTGTGTATATATGAATATGAATGAATGGCCAAACCGATGGCCGAGTGGTTAGCACGTCGACCCCACAGTGCCGAGGCCGTGTTTCGATCCCGGCTCCGGCCTTCCTGTGTGCATGTTCTCCCCAGGCCTGCGTGGGTTTTCTCCGGGTACTCCGGTTTCCTCCCACATTCCAAAAACATGTATGGCAGGCTGATTGAACACTCTAAATTGTCCCGAGGTGGGAGTGTGAGCGCGGATGGTTGTTCGTTTGTGTGTGCCCTGTGATTGGCAACCGGTTCAGGGTGTCCCCCGCCTACTAACCGAAGACGGCTGGCTGGGATCAGCGTGCTTGCGACTTGGTGCTTGCGACCAACCCTCCATCATGCAATTGTTAGTCATGAAAACTGCCACACTGACTCCTCCCCCACATATGTTGGTACGGATGTACTTTTTGACGTGATTAAGTCGTAGTTATGTTTTGTAAAGCTGCGGCTTGTGGGAACCAGTTTAAGAACCACCGCGAAGAAGCAAATAAACGAACGTCACCTGGCGATGACAAAGAGCACGCAGCTGACGCCGAGGCAAGCCAGCAGCACATACATCCAGATATCCGGGGACAGCGGGTTGAGGAAGGAGAAGACACCCGGGTTGGTGCCGTTGGGTTTGTGGTAGAGGATGCTGATGCCCAGCGTCATGAAGGGCTTGGAGAAGTCGATCACTTTCTCCCGCACGTAGGTGATGGTGAGGGGGGCCACCGCCAAGTCGGCTACCTGCCAACCGTCATAAGAGTGTCGGGATCCTTCCGAAAGTGATTCTAAAAAGTCTACACACCCCTGTTGAAATGCCAAGTTTTTGTGATCTCAAAAGAAGAGAAGAGAAATATTTTCAAAAGCCTTTCTGCACTCATGTCACCTCTGACTCGACTGGAAAACAAAAAAAAAGAAATATTTTCGAGCGGGAAAGTAAAAGTACAGGCAACAGATCTTGTGGGGTTGCACAAGTGTACACACCCTATTGTCGCTGGAGACATAGCTCACTTCAGAAAGAACCGGCGACATTCAAACTCATGTTTAACGGGAGACAGCGCACAACTGCCGCCATTTAAAGTGTCTCTGATTAACCTAAAAAAAAAAAATCAGCTGTTCTAGTAGGCTTTTACTGACACTTTTTTTTCTTTCGAGCAGAAGTCTGAAAGCGTTTAAAACACTAACTGCTGTTTTGGAACTGAGACAGAACCAGCATTGGTTCAACTTCTGTGCTCTCAAAAGACATGTTGATAAATGATTACAAATGGAAAAATATACCTATATATGTTTTCTTTCCTGATTTGAACTTTTACATGCCGGAGGCTGGCGGTTCTGGCATCCACTGCAAATCATTGTTGTACAGTATATTAAACAATTGTTTGAAATGAGGCATGGAGAAGGAATATCTTTCTTCTTCCAATATTTTGCGTCGTCGTCATGACTGCGACCTGGTTCGCAATCCTCCATGTCCGTGCTCTCATTGTTTTTTTTTCCTCCATCTCCAGCAGTCAAGATCGCAATCATTTTTTTATGTTACCTCTCTTTATTTTATTATCTTATTTTATGGTGTCTTGTCATTTGCGGAGGTTGAAAAATGAGAGTAAGAATTAGAAACTACAGATATCTTTTTTCAAATGTAGACCGAATACGTAAAAAACTCTCCCACAAAATAAATCCCAGAGTAGAATACAACCCCACAATGATCTACTGAAATAATACTTTGTCGCAAGTACTTACGTGGTCGATGAGCTCGCGCACCATGCCGTTCCACTCGCCTTTGTCGTTCTGCGCGCCGTATTTCCCGTCGGACACCAGCTTGACCTCGTAGGAGAAACCCAGGATGTTGGAGAGCTCCTTGAGGAGGTCCAAGCAGTATCCCTCGAAGCGGTCGTTGCCGTACAGTGGCTTGTCGGACTTCTTGTACATCACGTAGGGATTTTCCTGAAAACGCCAGCGCCTTCCGTTTTGCAAACAGTTTCACGATGTCATTACAGTGAACGACTATTCCTGAATTAGCGACCTTTCCAGCAAAGCGCTGGCTAATCGGAAAGTAGCAATTGTTGTCAAGTGTGTATGTTGAAGTGACACGTCTCAACTGGTATACGGTGTTTACATATTGGGGAGGAGCCAACGTTAGCCTGGGTTGGTAGCGGAAGTTACAGAGTCTTGCTTTTTGAAACCACATCATCTGTGTCTATTTTTTTTTTTTTTTTGTCTAAGATGTATTGAAATTATATGAATATAGGCAATAATAAAAATGTTCAGATGGAGGAGGGGAGGGTCAATGACTCAAGTTAATTTTTGTTATTTGCGGCAGAGGTGGGTCCCTTTCTTATTTACCGTACCAGAATAGTGGTGACGATGAGGGTCCTGTTGGCCATGGAGTCGGTGACATTTGTGCTGGAGTCCTTGTTGTTTTCTGTTAAATTCAGGCCCGTCTGGGAGTTCCAGACGCCAATCTGTAACCGACAGAGTGTGAAGATTGACAATTTAACCGGGCCACAAAGCTTTGGCTGAAGCGACACCGAAGGGGAAAGTCATCAAAGCACAACAAGAGAGAGAGACCAGACGTGGACACGTTTGGTGGGGGCGTGTCGGGGGGGGTTACGACAAGTCCATAAGTGAACAGCATTACTATTACTATCTGTACCGAAGTACCGACCTTTTTCCACACTTTATTCAGGCGATTGTTGCCTGCGATTGTCTTGCAGAAAACAAACAAAAAAAGGAAAAGCATTTTTAAATGGAGGGCATTGCATGTGTCAAGGATAATGGAGCAAAACGAAGCGAATGACTTGTTGACTTTGAGCTGTAGTGTCATCTCGTAACGAGCATATTGTACTGTAAGCTAAAAATCAAAAGAGCGCTGCATTGACAGTCATCATAAAAGTTTGAAGAAGCGTATTGAAAGGAGACGTGTGAAATGGAGTTTTGAGCTGCCAGCATTTTGACTGATCTTTCAACACCCACAAAATATTGTGTTCGTTGACAATGTAAGCGCCAAACTTAGCGAAGGAAGAGTTGACTCTCTTCTTTCTCTTTTCAGTTCTTTCTTTCGTCATCAGCAGTTGAAACATGGATTGGTTTCACCCAAAGCACCGGTTTCTGACCAAAATGCGGAGAAAAGCAAATTCTTGCAAGAACGTGGCAAGCAATAATATGACGGACGCTGACGTGGCAATCCGAGATTCACTGCCTCATTCTTATCGTCTACTTTTTTAAATGTTTTTGCCGTCTATGGTAGTGAATGAGTGAGTTGGTACAGGACGGGACATTGTTCAAAAGGTCAAATATTCCAAAGTGACCAGCACAAAATGAAAATGACAGCATTTTTTTTTTTTTTTTTAATTCTGCTTAAGAATCAGTTGAGACAAAGTGAAACGCGGGAGGGGACGGTTCACCTTCTCCAAGCCGTCCTCCTTCAGGCTGATCACGTCCAAATCAAAATCTTTGCGCAGGCCGTCTGTCTTGTTAATGACGATTTGTCCTGTTAAGCCGTTCCACTGCGCCTGTGCGAAGAAGCGGGACAGCCAATGAATCTCAATCATTTTTTTCTTTTAAAATGGTCAGAACGCAAAATGCTACATCCAGTTTACTGCAGAAGCCGGAGTAAATGAGTATGAGGAGACAATGAATAATTGATGAGTGAGTGGCGCTGCATTAGGTCCAATCTTGGAGATGACGGCTTGTTGCGTCCTAATGGCCCAAATGTACATTGGCTGGACATTTCAAGTGTCTGTTTGTGTGTGCCTGTCGTGTGCCTCGTAGATGATGATGTAAATGGAGCAGGCGGAGAGCGCTGGGTCTGCAGCGAGGCTCATGAATGCACTCGCCGCAAATGAAGCGAGCTCACTTGATCACAAAGCTTTTATCCGAATGATGCACAAATCGTCTTTTTTTTTTTTTTTTCCTTGTAATGTTGCACACACATCTTGATGTCCTCACTCCCTTGAAAATGTCGCCATTTGTTAGTTTGCACAGTTTGGAAACTTTTGGGAGAAAAAAAAAAACCTGGCCCAAGTTATAGGCCAGCTGTGTAATTTTCGTCCAGAACCGGTCAGAATGCATAATCGGTTATAATGCATGCATTTGAAGTCCAAAATAAAAAACAAAAAAACAAACATAAATACAATAGTATTTGCGCATCAATTCGGATCGTTACTACGGGTGTCACAAAAACAAAACAAAACAGAATTGTCTTTGTGTTGACGGATCGAATGATGACATTTTAAACCTAAAATAGACCATTTATTGTAACCATTTGACATGTCTATTCATTTTATTAAATCGTCGATATCTAATTAAGATGAAAATATTTTGATTTGCAGTCATTTATCTTTAAAACGAGAATGCATTTGATTTGGTTTTGTGTCGCTAATTAGGAGTGACACAGCCTCAAAATGAGACTCAATCAACCTTTTCATCATCATCATTATTATTATTATCATGAAAATAAATGGATTCCCAAAAGTCAAAGGTAAGCTCCCGTACGGAGGAAATAAAGAGCGGCGTCAAAGCGTCGCGCTACTCACGTCTTTGAGCATGTTCATGAAGCGCGGGCCGAAGCGCCACGGCTTGTGTCGGTGGCACTGAAGCGAACTGACGGTGATCTGGGCGGCGCGCTGCGACGCCGCCGCCACCATATACACGGCGTCGTACATCAGAGACGCCTCCGTCTGCAATCACACAAATCCCCGACTCATTTTTGTTATTTATTTATTTTTTTTTTTTTTGTGAGTCATCAATTCAGCGTCCTCACAAATCAAGATGGTGAAATAACAGCACACGACTGAGCGCAATCAGAAACTCCCATTAATTCTTTCTCAAAATAGATGTTTGTGTGTTTACATGGATTCTCTCAGCAATTCTGTTTCAATTTTTATTTTTTTTTTGAGGGGGGGCAGCCTTTTTTCACTTCAAAGTACAGTAGAGTTCACAAACAGGATTAGCAACCAGGCAGGGGGAGGTTGGGTGGTAATTATGTCAATTAATTTTGTTTACCAATGCAAGAGCTGTAAATAGCGTAAGCTTTTAATGACCCTCATGAAAGCAGATAAACAACTTGTGGATCTGCTTCGCGAGCTCGAAGACCGCACTAATGCGTCCTATTTATTGTTGGGTGGAGCACCCCCTTTGAGCGTCAAACTTCTCGGAGGGTCGATGTGCCTCCGTGGCCGATGTCTTTTGAATTTTTTATGAATGTAGGCCCTGGAAAATGTCACTGTAAAATTAAAAATGCGTTTGCGTTCTGCCCAAATGTGTAAGGAAACGCTTTGTTCTTCAAACTTTGAATTTTTTTTTTCCATTCTGAACGCGCGCATCGTCCAGATGAGATCATCCAAATGTGTTCATTGTCATTCCGGCATCAATAAATGGATGATTCATCTGAAATGAGAAAAGTATTTTTTGGGTTGTTTTACACCACTCGTTTTGAGATGAAACCTCGAATATCAGTCGCTTTTGAGCTTTAATCCATATTTTCAAATGTTTGTTTTCATAACATTTGATCAAGAATAGAATTGAAATTTTGAAAATCAGTTCACTTTAGCGATATGAGAAAGTTGCATTGAAGCGGTCTTGTGCCGTTTATGCCACAGGAGAGAACCACATTATGTGGTTGCGATGCACCAGAGGGATCTGTGAGCTGCCAGGATGTGGCGGCCATTTTGCATACACATGATAGCAGGCAGCAAAATAAATGGAGCTACTTCCTCGACACAAATGAAGTTGTGAAACTGTCGGAACCATAATCATCTTTTTTACCATCACAAAAAGCAAGCGTGAAAAGAGTTTTAAGCGGGGGTGCGTGTTTTTGTGGGTCCCCATCCAAATGTGGCGGCTACACGGACAGTTGCACACTCCCACTGTCACACTACTTGTAGTTCTAATACTTACCGTCATCATGCCTTCCATCATTCCCGTCTCGGCCTTGGAGGGGGCCTGCAGCCGCTCCATGGCCCACCTCTCCACCACCGAGGCCACCTTGGGGTTGTCGATGTTGAGCAGCCGGAAGCCCGTCATGTTGACGCCGCTATAGCGGTACGGCTCCAGGTCCAGTGCAAATAGGTCCTGCGGGGAAAGACATTCACAAAACGTCACTTTGCTCGCGTGGGAGACAGTTGTTTTGTTTTGTGTCTATTGAGCCACTGGACGGTTATCATTGATACCAAACGTGGCTAAATTGCCAGCTCGTGTGCGTAGTTTTGACTGTGTAGATTTTGAGGTGGGCGGAGGTTAGCATGACGAGCAATCACATCAACGAACCAAGCAAAGATCACAAGAAGTAGGTGATGCCTCTACTTTGCAAGTTTGCGTGTGCTTCTGAATAAGCAAGTGTGCTTTTGACTCAGTGGATTATTTTCTGCTGCTCTGTTCTATTGCTATTCTGCTAGCCGGCTCTTAGCATGAACGAGGATCTCATTGGCGAGCAAGCAGAGTTTTCACCTTGTGGAAGAGTTGATATATCTCCAATGAACTTTTGACGTTGTAGATTATTTCAAGTTGTTTGGTTTTATTTTTTCAGTTGGAGATCATTAGAGCTCATTGGAATATCCGACATCGGAATATCTGACATTGTGTTGGCGAGCGTGCATGTGAGCAGACCTACTCTAGGCGATTACTTTGTGGATTATTTTGAGTCCCGCTTGCCTGCTTACCAGCGTGGTGAAGAAGAAGTGATAATATTCTGTCATCATCCCCATGGACAGGATCTGCAAAGGGGTGCAAGGCAGAATGCTTTATAAGGAAATGCGGCGTCATGCCAAGCTTGCGATTCGTTTTCGCGGCAGGTTTAGTTTCTTCATATGAAGTTCCAACTCTGCCAGTGATTCGGGCGAGAACACACAATTGCCAATTTGGCTCATCCTCCGCGTGGTAAATATTAAGCCAAAAGCTGATAAAACGTCTCTTAATTGACTTGAAAGACTTGACAAGGTTTCATAAAAATAGATTTCTAATAGCAAGTCTAAAAAAAAAAATCGCTGTCAGTGTCCCATTAAAAAAAATAAAATAAAAAAGATTCACAGTAGATGTAATAGTCTACACACCCCTGTTCAAATGCTCCGTTTTTGTGATCTCAAATAATGAGAACAACGACAATCTTTTCAACTTTTTCCACCATTGACGTAACCCGTAATCTGTACAACTCAATTACGTTTTTTCTTCTTTTTCTTTTTTTCCATCGTTTCGAGAGAGGAAGTGCAAATAAACAGCTAAAATAATGTGGTTGCATAAGTGTGCACACCCTCCTATAACTGGGTATCTGGCAGTGTTTCGAATTAACCAATCACATTCAAATTCAGGTGAGATGGGAGTAAGCACACACCTGCCACCATTTAATGCGCCTCCGATTAACCCCAGGCCAAGTTCAGCTGTTCTAGGAGGCTTTTCCTGACATTTTTTTTTCTGATTGTTTTTTGCTGACACGGGCAGGTATTGGAAACGTTGATATTTTTTCTCCACATTGTCCAAAAGGCCCCAGTTCAAGATGAAGAAAAACATCCGCAACTGAGGGCCCTAAAAATGTGAAACATCTCTTATGGGGGTCCTCTGCTGTGGCGCGTGTTGGTGAGCTCGGAGTCGCTCACCTGCTTGAGGACATCAGCCGATGTTTGGTAGGAGCAGTCGAAGATGACGTAAAACTCCTTCCCCTTCTTCATCTCCTTGAGGAGCGGCCGCGCATCTTTGCTTCCCATTTGCAGCTGGCGGATCTTGATTTTGATGCTGTATCTGGACGGAGCTTTGATCAGCTCTTGCAAGCGGATCAGGCCTTCAACCCACAAACATCATGATTACTTCATGTGCTATCTGCTTTGACCCGATATCAGCGATCCGGTTTGAACTCAGCGAGTCTCACAACCAGTGAAAGAAATCGCGACCCGTTTTCATTGCGGGTCAAAATGACGCATTCAATTTGCAAAATGTAGAAACGTTTAAAATGCAAAAAGAATTCTGATAAAACTGTGCACCTTGTGGCTGTTTATTGTCGGCAGTCCACTTGTACAAGAGCCCCCATGTCGAATTAGCATTTACTCTGCCACACAATGATTAAAATTTTCGTCACGGTCACAATTTCAATTCTTTGAACTCGAAAAACGAGAGCCGTGTTTTTGAGCTCCGCTCATTGAGGTTGTCAAGCACAACTGTCATTTACCCTCCTGCGTGGCTGCAGGCCAAGCTAACGTGGACCCGACAACCCCCATCTTATTGTTGCAAGATTTTCGCAACTGACCCGTCGCGTCCTCGTAGACCACGGTAACCGTCTTCCACTTGTAGTACTGCACTATGTCCAGCACGGCTCGACTTATGGAGGCATATTCGGGATAGAGGTTAATGTAGAAGCTGTCTCGGTTGTCCACGGATGGATGCTTCCAGCGCGTCTGGATGTGAGGGACTTCCAGGGCGTTGCAGATGGACTGAACGGCGCTCACCGACGAGCTGTGCGACGGTCCGAACACGGCCCCCACACCCAGTGCCAATTGGTCACAGGCTGAGGATTGCGAAAGAGGGGTGAAGGGATGGTGGTGGTTTGGGGGGGGGGGGGGATGATAATCCATCAGTCAAACCCAGGTTTCCCCACTTGTGATGACAGGTTTAAGGATATTTCTTGCACATGATTTAAAAGTTTCTCTCTCTCGGCCTCTGGATAACTTTAGTTTTGTCCTGGTTACCTTGGACAAAGTTCTCTCCCATCCGGGATTTGATGTCTAAAATGCAGTTAGGTAGAGTATACATTGGACTTGTGTCATCAGGAGTCACAGAGATACAATATACAGCTACGTATCAATGGAAATTCACTCTGTGTTTCCTGATAACACCACCAAGAAGGTGCATATACACATTGGAAATCAAACAACGAAGGGCCTAAAATTGAACCTTGAGGCACACCACACATTACTTGGTGGCCTCGCAAGGAACACGTACCCCAAATTTACCGTAAGTGTTCTGTCAGTGAGTTGGTTGGCGCCAACAAAATAGTCACGTTTTCATCTTGGGATATTACGACAAGAACAAACGATAGCCGTATACTGACCTCTTCTGGAGGCCTCGAAGCTGTCAAAGAGATTTATTCTCTGGACGTCGTAGGTCAACGTGGTGTTTGGCATGAGGGTCCGATTCCTGTTGATGTTTGTCACTGCAAACTTAAAGGCCAGCTCCTCCACACTGATGGGCTCGGTCTCCAGCGTCTCGAAGATGCCGCCTGGGTGGACGGACACCAGCAAGCAAAGCCGTCAAACGGGGCTGCCGCGTGTGAGCCGATAATAACCCAGGCAAGGCAAGGCGTCCTTATGAATAGATTGCATTTCAGACACAAGATAACTCAATGTTCTTCACATCATTCAAAGAACAACAGTGAAAGCATTTTCAAAAGATAAACTATTGGGTCTTTTGTCTTGCGGTGAGGTGAAGCAGCATGTGACTCCTCATCTGAGGTCAATTTCCAACGCCTGTTTTGAGTCTCTCTGAAAAATGGTGTCTTTGTAGTCCGATGTATACGCTAGGAATGAACTAAAAGTTTTTTGTTGCTGTAATATAGAAAAATGCATTCATTCATCTCATTTTTTATGTATTTATTTTAAACAGGCCGACTTCTCCATATTGCATCTTCGCTTTGAGTGATTATGAATATGACATAATGTTGCGCAGATATGCACTGGTCATGTCGCTGGAATTTAATCCCATTGAGAGAAAAGCCCCACCTCGGCCAGCCTCATCCTATTTGCGCGGCCTACATTCCGACGCAGCGTTTGGGAAAAGCCCGTTGCCGCCGGGACAAGGAGACACACCAGGACGCGCTTACGGGGGTCACTGCGGGTCGTCTCCGTGGCCGACACCTCTTGGGAACGTCTTCAGCGAGCGTGTCGTTTCATAGTTTGCCGAACTTCTTTAATCGGCCTTTGACTCCGGCGCAGCAGATGCGATGCTCGGCAAATGTCTTAAGCTCTAAATCTTCCCTCTGGAACATTGATGAAGCCCTCCATCAACACGGACGTCACATTTAGCAAGACAAGAGCAACTCTTTCGAGTGACGCGGTGCACGTCACTGCAAAGCGCCAAAATCATTGGAATGATCATTTTGCATACGCCTTTAATGTTTCTTACAGCGGCGTGTTCCAGATTGCTCGACTAAACAATAGTTCATTCCTTAAAAGATGTATACTCAGCAAAAATATCTCCACGACTGTCCAGAGCAGATGCACGGAATGCAAAATTTTTTTGTATCCATCATGTCCATCATGTCCACAGAATGCAGTAGGCGAGGTCTTCGGACTTTTTCCGAAACATCAAACAGCCTCATGATCGCAAACGTCCCAAACGTGCGGTTGTTGACAGTTAGCCGGTTTCTGGATAACAAGCCGCATGCTGCTTCACCAAGTCGAAAGACATTATTATGCCATCATGCATTTAGCAGCCCGCTGTGCTGTGGAAGTTTCAACCTGAAGAAAAAGTCTTTCTACCCGGGGCGAAAAAAAAAAAAAAAAAGTAAAGTCAAGGCCAGACAAAAAAAGAATCCCAAAGCCTTTCAAATGGAAATGAACCCAAACACTCTTTTTAATGGGCTTATTTCAAATTATAATACAGTTGTTTGTATGTTTTGCACACGGCGACATAGACAAGTACAGGCAGACTCGAGGCCACCACTGTTATGCTTTGTTTTTTTTTTAATCTAATATTTTCAGTGTTTTTCTTCTGATGCCACCAGAAGGTAGTTTTAAAATGGATAAAAGTTAAAAAAAAAAAAAAAAGTGGGCGTCAATTGTGTGAGTTTCATCCAAAATACACAAATTTGACCAAAATCAAACACAAACAATCTGAGGTGGCAGGCGGTGCCCACTTGACGGCAATTGGCATTCTGTCGTGTTGCGACTCGAGTGCGCTACTCGCGTTCTGCATTTCAAGGCAATGAAAGGCTTTGAAGTCGGCTGTGACCACTCCCACAGAGGCGCAGCCACCCCCAGAGTCTGCGGTCTTTTGCCAATTTACCAACCAATTTATCAGTCTAACCCGCCGAGTGATGCCAGCCACTGCGCAGGGTTTAAAATACATTTTAAAAAAACGCTTCTTCAATCCGTAACGATTTGAAAGTGACGATTTTGAAGGCTCGCTTGTATTTAACGCGTCAGGTGTAAAGCAAATCGGTGGAATCGAACATCACCGTCACATGGCAGTTGGCTTATTTTTCTTGCACTTCACAACACCGGAGAATGTTCGATTTTGCGTAGAGAGTTCATTGTGGGTCAAAGCTGCTGACAGTTTGACCCCTGGAACAATTTATTTCCACTTCCATTGCTTCCTACCCGACAAACTCAACTTCCAAAAAGGTTACACTGACAAAAAAAAAAGTCAAACAATTAAGCCATGTCGTCATCGTCAAATTCACTTCAAGCGTCCCAAAATGCCAGAAAGACAAAAGTTCACTGCACTCGGCAGTTACGTATGAAAATGTGATTTAAAAAAAAAAAACCTTCTTTTTCTTCTCACGCAGACGTTGATTGTGAATGACCTTTTTCTCTTGGTGCCCACACTGAGAGCGCCTTGTGCGCGCTGCGTCGTTCGCTTTTGAAAAACGAGCTCCCGCCCCAAGCGGCTGCTAGCAGGTCCTGCTAAAACACTTCCGAATTCTGCACACAACCAATTCACGCATCCATCAATAATTTTTCACACACACAAACACACACACACACACACACACACACATTTTCACACACACAAACACACACACACACACACACACACACACACACACACACACACACACACACACACATATGGCCCAACTTGTCTCTTCCAAGCAGATGGTCCGTTTTGTGCGTGGGGCCAGAATACCCCCCACACCCACCCCTACCCCTCCCCACACTACTATGTAGATTTTCTGATTTACATCTTGGTCGCCGATGTCTAATCACTCAAACACAAAATGATGCGCAGCCACCGCATGAATAATCTCCAAAGCGCTGCCAACACGAGAGGCGAATACAACAGGGAAAGCAGATTCATTTGGCCTCCTTGTTTGTTTGTGTGGTGAAGAGAGGGAACACGAAATGTAAATTCGAGAAAAAATATTCTAACGGTAGAGTATGTCCTCGTATATAATATCATTTGGATAAAAATGATGAAAGCAGTGTATGAAAAAAGAAAATCAGATCCATAAAATGAAATACGTTAAAAAAAAGAAGAAATTATAAGCAGTAATTTATTTTGTTACTTTGGTGGTCTTTTGTAAAAAATAAAATAAAAAATTCGAACGGACGGGACCGCTTCCTCCCTCGCAACGTTGCCGAAATCCACCCAGTCGGCTCTTGTCGTGCAACGCTGCCGCAATGCCTTCAACAAAATCAAATTTTGCTCTGGGCCCCAAGGTGGCGCCAGCCAGCTCTGCGTTCACATGCCTGATGATGGTCTCATTGTGCCTCTTCCCTCTTCCAACAAATGAAAAATAACTGTTGAGGTTCATGAAGCACCCAAACATCAAGCGTGGCTAGAAAAGATTTGCCGCACGCCAACCAGGCCACAAAAGTATAAGGAGGTCATTAGAAACATCTCGATAGCGCAACTTCATTTGCTAATTGTATTCATCTGGGTTGCTGCGATTTTTTTTAAGGAAGCGTTCGGATAAAGCGCAGCAGATAAAACTTCAGCCGACGCATTTTGGAAGTGAACAAAATGCGCGTCTATTTTTTATGAGGCGTATCGCAGATTCCGTTTGCAGGAGACAAATAGGTCACTGCATCCACGAGATGAATGAATGGCCCTATGGGGGGGCGGGGGGGGCTCAACATGCCCGGAAATTCAGCAAGCACGGGAGGAGTAGAATGTGAGAATGTGCCCGCAACACGACCCCAATAAATTCACTCTGTAGCGCCCCCTGGAAAGTTGGAGGGATAAAAACAAATTCCCTTCCCTCGGTTTCACCTGTCAAAGTAAAAACCCACGCAGGGAGGCCCGGGCCGGAATCGAACCCAGCGCCTCAGCGCTCTGAGGCAGATTTGTGAACCGTCTGACGCCGTCCAATGATAGACGTGCCCACCTAATTTCGTCCTAATCAGTGAAACTGGTGCCTACGGCTACTTTTCACGACGGGGTACGGTTTTAGAGGATCAAAAAAACCAAAAGATTTTCACCTTGATACACAAGCTTGCAAAAAAAAAAAAAAAAAACTGGTGAGGGGTCGGTCATGTTGTGGCTCTCGTCAATATAAGTTAGCGTTTGTCTTGACTGCATTATTAGGTCGGACGGTGCTATGGGGCAATGCATGCTGGGAGGTCAGGAAAACAAGAGCGCTGCCGGGAGACTGCGATCGGCCTCGAGCGCCACGCTTCTGTTGCCTCCTTCGGATGGAGAACGAACAGCGATAACAAGCCTTCATGTGAATTCAGATATTTTGAGGGGAGGGGAGCATTTTCATTTTCTACATTTCTACGGAGCTCGCCGATGAGCGTTGTACCGCATTTTTGCAACCCACGTGTGTCGTGCAATGTGCTCTGAATCTCTACGGTAAGCTAACGCGTTACTTTTTCCAAAGTCATCAGACTACAATGACTTTTCAAATATCACAAAATGTGACTACCTAGAATAGATACATAATATAGGGCGACATGTTTTTGAAACGCGGTAGGAAACCGGAGTACCCCGAGAAAAGCCACGCAGGCACCTGGTGAACATGCAAACGCCACAGGGAAGGAAGGCCGGGGGCCGGGAATGTCAAGTACGGTCACACGCCGCCCCGCTACAATTTTGCGGTTTACCGATGCCGATCGTACCATCGCGAGCCGATTCGATCGCAACAGCTTGGCGGAGACGTGACCCAATGAACCCCTGGGTTGACTCGCACTTTCGCTCTCATGAAGGGGGAGTCTTTTTGGGTCGAACGGGACAACGGTGTAGTGTTCGACTTTCTCCCCCGGCCCGACAAGCCAGCGACCGCGACCCATCTGACTTGGGCGCACGCCAGCCTCGGACTGAAAGAGGCGCTCCGAAGCCATCGAAGATCCCCGTTTGATGTGCGGCACTGAGCTTTCTCTGTTGGTCCGGCGAACCCCGACACAGGCAGAGTGAAAATGAGGAGGATGTTTCGCAGGGTTGACACATGATCCAATGGCGCCACGGAATCGCCGGTTCAGTCGCGTTGGCAAATACAGACGAGCCGACGTTCCGTTCGCTCGTCCGCTCTGACTTTCCGCAGAAAGAAGATTAGTGTTGGTTGTTTCAGGATTTGTCGTTATTACGAGAAGAGCGAAACGACGACACCTGCCAAAGCGGAGGGATGTTAATTGGAGTGAACGTGGCAGCATATGGGCGAGATTAGCGCGGGATGAGAATGACAAAGATTAGGCCAGGCCCGTCCTTGATTGAGACGGATTAACGACACGGAGCGCAGATTGAGACGGGAGAGAATGGGGAGGCGGCTTGTCCAGTTTCACAACTCCAGGCGGCGCGACCAAAGCGGCGTCCTGCTGGCCGTTGAGGGAATTTCCTCCCCCTGTGAGGTTTTGGCTTTGATCGAAATAAACCTGCTAATCCAAATGGCCAGAAGCTTTCACATCACGGTGAAAATACATTTCCAGGTTTGAAGCTAGCGAGACCTGACCGACCGCTGCTAAGACATAAATCAGTATATCAAGTGCACGTATGTTTTGTTTTACAACGATACTAAACAATATTTATCATTTCATATGTAGCTGTGGATGGAATAGTAAAGCTTCCCGACTCTGCCTCCAAAATGGAGGCAAGCGATGACGTACATGGCAAGTGAATCGTAGTGAGGTGAGCCTCTGTCTGTCCAATATATCCCGACATTTCTCTTTTACTCTCACCGACGTTCTTTTGTGATGTATGTTGATGTACGTTGCAGCGGACCTTAGCATCCGTTGTTTGTTGAAGTTGTGGCGAGTCTTTGCCGTGAATTTGTAAAGATAAATCCTCCATGTTTGTGGTGGATTCTACCCTCACATCAGCCGAAACTAGGTTGAAATCTAAACTGATTTGAATCCAGTTCTGTTCCACATTTGCACGGTTTGGCAGCAACGCGAATACAGCGTGGAATCAAATCCACGAAACCTTTTCAAATGGTGTAAAATCTCACCAGATGATGTCACCGTGTCATGGTACCAATTAAATGAGGTTTCCGTTTTATGCCAATCCAGATTGAATTTGGATTCATTAGGGAAAAAAAGGATTATATAGAACAGGAAAATCCATTTATAGGTGACACATTTGAAAGAGAAAAATTTGACAGAAATCGAGACTATTTTGAATCCAGTTCCTATCCGGATTTGTCTCTCTGCGTAACAGTGTAAATGCAACACAGAAAAATCCGATAAACCTGTTCAAATGCCGTCTCATCTCACCGGGTGATCGGAATCGTATCGTTATGACAATCAAGCGAGGATTTGGTTTCATCATAATCCAATTTGAATTTGCATTCAAGAGAGGAAAACGCTTCAATAGAACAGTGGAAGCTATTTGGAGGCGACGCATTTCAAGCCTTGGCTTCAAGCCCGAGTCCTCCTGTTGAGAAAGTCTTTTTTTAGTTTTGTCTTTGTGATGCAACGTGCAAGCAGACTGTCCTAATGAAGCACATTTATCACGCTTGTCCAGTTTCACAACTCCAGGCGGCGCGACCAAAGCGGCGTCCTGCTGGCCGTTGAGGGAATTTCCTCCCCCTGTGAGGTTTTGGCTTTGATCGAAATAAACCTGCTAATCCAAATGGCCAGAAGCTTTCACATCACGGTGAAAATACATTTCCAGGTTTGAAGCTAGCGAGACCTGACCGACCGCTGCTAAGACATAAATCAGTATATCAAGTGCACGTATGTTTTGTTTTACAACGATACTAAACAATATTTATCATTTCATATGTAGCTGTGGATGGAATAGTAAAGCTTCCCGACTCTGCCTCCAAAATGGAGGCAAGCGATGACGTACATGGCAAGTGAATCGTAGTGAGGTGAGCCTCTGTCTGTCCAATATATCCCGACATTTCTCTTTTACTCTCACCGACGTTCTTTTGTGATGTATGTTGATGTACGTTGCAGCGGACCTTAGCATCCGTTGTTTGTTGAAGTTGTGGCGAGTCTTTGCCGTGAATTTGTAAAGATAAATCCTCCATGTTTGTGGTGGATTCTACCCTCACATCAGCCGAAACTAGGTTGAAATCTAAACTGATTTGAATCCAGTTCTGTTCCACATTTGCACGGTTTGGCAGCAACGCGAATACAGCGTGGAATCAAATCCACGAAACCTTTTCAAATGGTGTAAAATCTCACCAGATGATGTCACCGTGTCATGGTACCAATTAAATGAGGTTTCCGTTTTATGCCAATCCAGATTGAATTTGGATTCATTAGGGAAAAAAAGGATTATATAGAACAGGAAAATCCATTTATAGGTGACACATTTGAAAGAGAAAAATTTGACAGAAATCGAGACTATTTTGAATCCAGTTCCTATCCGGATTTGTCTCTCTGCGTAACAGTGTAAATGCAACACAGAAAAATCCGATAAACCTGTTCAAATGCCGTCTCATCTCACCGGGTGATCGGAATCGTATCGTTATGACAATCAAGCGAGGATTTGGTTTCATCATAATCCAATTTGAATTTGCATTCAAGAGAGGAAAACGCTTCAATAGAACAGTGGAAGCTATTTGGAGGCGACGCATTTCAAGCCTTGGCTTCAAGCCCGAGTCCTCCTGTTGAGAAAGTCTTTTTTTAGTTTTGTCTTTGTGATGCAACGTGCAAGCAGACTGTCCTAATGAAGCACATTTATCACCGCTTGCATCAGCTCGAAAAGGACTAATTACACGGCCTTTCTCGTCAACTTTCAAAGCGCTCGTCCGTAAACTGGGGACGGATTTCAAAGTGTCCGTGCGCCCCCGCTCGCGATTCCGCTGCCGCTCGTGGATCTGTTTCCCTTGGCCGCGGGCCAAAAGGCGAGCAAGTGTGCCAGCCGCGATGCGTTCACGTGCATCGGCAGTCCCCCTCTGACCCGCGCCGGCGTCCTCTCGCAGCCCGACGCCGGAGTGGATTAACGGGATTTCAATCTCGTTGTGCCCAAACGCAGCGAGCGCCCTCGCCATGATTATTGTCATGATGATTATTTGGGGCGAAATATAGAAACCTGAAATAATCCAGTCTGTGACCATGATAGTATAGGAGTAAATTAAAATGTGTTTTTATTATGTGACATCGATCGCATGTTCCAAATGGAATCTTGTGGGCGGTGTTTTGAGTTTGATGCCATTCATTTTGTATGACCAAAAATATACATCAATGCAAAAATGTACTTTTTAGAAGCGAGTTTTTTTATGGCACCGCGACATGCTCGTTTAATAAGTGCGAAGAACGACATGTTTTAAAATAAAACCCGTCCTCTATAAACTGAACTGGAAAAGGCACTTCGACTATTTTGGTGGCCTCATTGGAAGGAGCGACAGAGTCCAAATATTGAAACGGCTTTCGGTGTGACGCAGCGCCCTTGTGCATCGTTGCAATTGCAAAGTACAAAGGTCTCATTTTAAATGGAGTGAATGTCTTTGACGTTTCATGTTATTCCACTTCATTGCATACCTTTTTGAATTCACATTTTAGTCAAATTCAATTATATGTCAAATCTACAAAACCCTTGTATATTTTTTTCTTGAAGTTATTAGTTTTTGCATTCGCTTATTTAAGCGAAATTAAACAATTTAAAAACTTAAAACAAAAAACACATTAAATGTAATTATTTTTAAAAGAACCATCATGTTTAAAATGCTCCTAGAATTACATTCTTTTAAATTGTTTAATTTTAAAAAGCACACGAAATGATTTTACATGATATTATTAAACAAAAAAACATTCAATTAAACGACCTTAAATGAACAAATGCCCCATTTATGTGCACAAAAGTGACGGAACACTCTTAAAATATGTCAACGTGCAGATAAGTGTAGCTCAGTTGTGTCCTCCTTTTTGCACCGCTTAAAACAACAAACACTCCAATTATGACTAACAACAGCAACAATAATCAATATGCATCTTTCCCCAAGCAACTCTTGAAAATTCACATACATCGTGTAAATGATGTCAAGGTAGAATGAGTCCGACGTTTTGCAAGGGAGCCAAAGCGACTCTTGGCCTCCGTCACTCACCAATCCGGAGGACCTGCTGCCAACTGAGCCACAAGTCCGCGAGCAAGTAGAGCAGAGACAACAGCAGCCCTCTCCTCTTCGCCATGGTCCTCCCCGGGGACTCCGCTTCAGCATGGAGGTCAGTTTTCCGCCCAAGTCATGCTGACACCTCGCCGGTCCAAGTATCCTTGACCGTCGCAATCAACTGGCCCCTGACCCGCATCGTCGCCTCGCTCATTGTGAGAAGGAAGAAAAAGAAAAGAAAGGGGGGTGGGGGGTGAGAAATCACCAAATTCGATGTGAAAGTCCTTCATGCGTGATACGGGTGTTGTTTTCCATGTTCAAGTCGCATCCCTTTTTTTTTCCCGGCGCACGCTTGAATTGAAGGGTGCAACTGAGGAGGAGGACCGCTAAGATGCTCCGGCTGTCAAGGCGGCACAGATAGGAAATACTGTTTCCCCTTATGGATTTCAAAATAAAATCGACCCGGAGTAAATGAGCTGAAAGCAGGGGTCGTCAAACTCATTTGAAATCAGGGGCCGTATTCACCCCCCCCCCCCCAATTTATGCAC